AGATCTATCTCACTTTTAATGTCAAGTTTAATTTTGGTTTCAGAAACCAATTCTTATATGTTTTTATTTGAGAATTATAACCCAAGGTAAAATATAATTTTTATACTTTGGTAAACAAATTTTAAGTTTTACAAAATAAACAAGGGATAATTAATGCACTGACAAATATGATATATTATATCAACTATAACATAGGATAAACTAAAATTACAAAACTCATAAGATAAAATATGTTTATATTTAATCGTAAATATAGTTTTTTAATTTAACTTATTTTTGTTTAATACCAATTAAACAATGACATATATTTCTTGTTAAGAACTTAAAACACATTTAATGATATAATAAAAAGAGTTATGTAAGTCGTGAAAATAATTAAAATTTAATTCATTCTAAAATAAATAAGATTAGAAACTAATTTCATTATTATGATTTTATAAATAAAAAAAAAAGAACAATAATCATAAAAAGCACTACGAAAATTTCTATAATTAAGAGGCATTTTTTTGTTTATTTTTAATTTATTAGTATTTATACATACAATGCATACAAAATCATTCATTATTTTATACGAGTCAAGTTCGAATTTATTTGAGAATCTATGCCAACTCAACCAATCTATTATCAATTAATGGTTAATCGGAATTTTAATAGCTAAACAATGGGATGAAAGTTGGAGACAATGTTACATTAGAGAAGAGACGTTGCTTTGGTGGGAGTAGAAGTTGACTTGGGGGAAAGGTAAGGAAGGAAAGTTCAAAGTAGTGGTGGTCACGTAGTAGATGTGCTTTAAATAAGAGTCGATGTGGTTAAAAGAGCGGAGATGAAAATTGGAGAGATGATAGTTGGTGAAAATAGTTAAAATTTAATTCATTCTAAAATAAATAAGATCAGTGACTAATTTCATTATTATGATTTTATAGATTAAAAAAAACAATAATCATAAAAGCACTACAAAAATTCCTAAAATTAAGAGGCATTTTTTTTGTTTATTTTTTTATTTATTAGTATTTATATGTACAACGCATACAAAATTATACATTATTTTATACGAGTCGAGTTCGAATTTATTTGAGAATCTATACTAACTCAACCAATCTATTATTAATTAATGGTTAATTTGAATTTTAATGGCTAAACAATGGGGTGAATAGTGGAGATAACGTTAGATTAGAGAAGAAAGGTTGCGGGTGGGAGTAGAAGTCGACTTGGGGGAAAGATAAGGAAAAAAAGTTAAAAGTAGCGATGGTCGCATAACAGAGGTGCTTTAAATAAGAGTTAATATGGTTAAAAGAGCAGTGATGAAAATTGAAGAGATGATGGTTGGCGAAAGGTAGAGACTTGATATGGGCTATCTAGGGCATTACTATCATGCTCCTCTTAGAAAAGGATAGTTGACAAGTCTATAAATTAATGTATAAGATAGTCGTGTGTAGAATTTAAGAAGGACCACTTACAAATTTTTCAACAATGACTCATTTTAAACTATAAAATCTCGTGCATAGCACGAATAATATGCTGGTTCACATTAATACAAAGGTAAAGATATAAATTAAAATTAAATGTTATTATATTAAATAATTTATAAATCATAACTTAATTTTTAAATCATACTAAGCATAACAACAATATAAATGTCCAAGAAAGTTAGCTTTACTTCTGTATTAGAAGAAAATATTATTTCAATTGAGTAATGACTTGGATATACTAGGTACGCTTGCAGTATGATAAAAATTAAAAAGAAAAATTTGGATATATGTTTTGTATACTTAATATGTATGCAGAAGTAACCATATGAAGTACTAATATATGGTACAAATACGACATATTTGTTGAAGTACTTACTTCATAGACATCCTATTTGAATCGTGAGATGAGAAAAATAAATGAAATTGTTGTAGTTCCTTACCTTCGTTGATTAAAAAAAAAACGAAATAGTTATACATTCTTCATTTTCTTATTTGAATGAATAATGAATAAAAGAAGATATATATATATATGCCTTTTATTTTATTTATTTTATATTTAAAAGAGTAATATAGGTATAATATATGGGTAATGTTAGAGATACTAAATTTTCTATCAAATAGATAACCAAATATTTCACATGTATGTGAGGTTTGCAATTTTATAAAACTCACACCCATGTGAGACATTTAATTATTTATTTAATAGAAAATTTGAGACCTATAACATCATCTATAATATAATTTTTCCATTTGAATGTTGGATCTACCCTAAGCTAGAAGCAGTTAAGTCTGAAGGAGAAGGGTTTTGTTGCAGCTGGAGTTAGATTAGACTGAAGAAAAAAAAAAAAAAGGAAGAAGCTGGTATGCCTTTCTTTTTAGGGAATTCCTGTCCAGTGGGTTAAAAGAAAAAAAATTACAGAAACATAAAGTAAGCTAGAAGCAGTTAAGTCTGAAGGAGAAGGGTTTTGTTGCAGCTGGAGTTAGATTAGACTGAAGAAAAAAAAAAAAAAGGAAGAAGCTGGTATGCCTTTCTTTTTAGGGAATTCCTGTCCAGTGGGTTAAAAAGAAAAAAATTACAGAAACATAAAGGGTTGTAAGTGAAAAAAAATTACAAAAACATATAGGGGTGAAAGTGAGAATTGCATCTCTACAAATTTTCATTTGCACCTTATCATAGAATCACTTATATCTTTTATGTGTGTATAATTTTTTTTTTACTCACCACTAGACAATAATTCTCCCTTTCTTTTTGACATAATTATGAGCTCCATCAGATCTAGCTAGGACAGATGGCAACCATCTAACTGTTAGTTGTTGGAAGATAAAAAAGCGTATTGAAGATCGATGGGCCATAAATGTTAACAATTGAGTAAGTAAAGTAGATATGAGATGTTGTCAATTATTTAATGAAACAATTAACAGCATGAGCATTTGAAAAAAATATCTAAATTGTATGTTTATATAATAAAATAGATATGAGATGAACACAAAGGTCATGTGATTAAATGATTACAGTTTTGTTTAAGCAACCTGATTTTTGCGTGAAATGATGTGTTTAGAGATCTTAGAAAATGAACAATTCATATTATTAAAAAAATAATTTCACCTACCAAAAAAAAAAATGATTCATGTAATAGATCTATGAAAGCCTAACAAAACCATCAAGTTAGAAATTGCCTAAGCCTCAACAATGGACCGGTTCAGTCTTAAAATTTTAGGCCCAAGCCCATGGGAATTTCGTGATTGATGGGTCATAAATGTTCCTGGTCAAACACGGCAAGTTGGTTACCATTGGGTAAGTAAAGTAGATATGAGACGTTGTCAATTTTTTAATGAAACAATTAACAGCATGAAAAAATAATCTAAATTGTATTGTTTGGGGTGTCTTAAATAAGTGTACTTTTTATTTTTTGGACTAAAAAATTGAGGAAGAAAATATGGATGTTTGGGTTAACTTTTTGACTTTTTATAGAAAAATATGTAATAAAAAATTGTAAAAATTGATTTGTAGAGAAAAATTTGAATTGGGAGTTGTGCAACGTAATTGTTGACTTTTAATAAATAGTGTTAACTTTTTAACTTTTTGAGTTACTTTTTGACTTTTTAACTTTTTTATAATATGCCAAACTTGACTTAAAATAGATATGAGATGAACACAAAGGTCACGTGACTATATGGTTACATTTTTGTTTAAGCAATTTGATTTTTGCATGAAACGATTTATTTAAAGATCTTAGAAAACAAACAATTCATATTATTAAAAAAACGACTCTACCTACCAAAGAAAAATGATTTCTATAATAAATCTATGAAAGTAACAAAGCGTAGCAATACCATTCAGTCAGATATTACCTAAATGGGCCGGTTCAGTCTTAAAATTTTAGGCCCAGCCCATGGGCTTGGACTAATTAATAGGCCAGGTCATCCAATATTCCTAAAGCCAAGCCCTACCCATGAGCTTATAGGCCAAGGACTAGGCGTGGGATCATTCAACCCAACTCATATATATTAGGGTACGCCGATGCCATGGGCTGTGTTTTTGGAAAAGACTTGCGTTTACGTTCGTTCGGCAAGTTAAGATTTTACTCAAAAAAAATGTCAACAAAAAAAGTTAAAAAAAATTATTTTCATTCTTTCAATTTTTTATACTATGTTTCTTTTGTAAAAATATCAAAAAGTTATGTCCAAATATTTTTTTTAAAAAAAAACATCTCATATTTTAATAAAAATATCATCAAAAAATTTTCATCCTAAACTAATCTCGAAAATTGTACACGGAAGTTACTTGTTTTAGTAATTTTTATTTTTTATGCTTCCGTGTTTAATTCATTATTTTGTTAGAAAATTATTAATATGTTTTCCTATTTCTAGTTATTTCAAGAGTGATGTACTTAAAAATAAAGGGCAAATTACCAACACCTCTCAAGGTTTGACTAAAATACGGATTTTTTCTTGAGGATTGAAAAATTACAAATTACCCCCTGAGGTTTATATTTACATAACAAATGATAGAATAATTTGTTATGCAAATATAAATTTCGGAAGACAAAATGTAATTTCTCAAATTTAAAAGAAATTCGTATTTTAATCAAATCTCAAGTAGTGTTGTTAATTTGCCCTAAAATAAATAGTAAGTATATAAGCGTTAATAACTACTAAATTTGTTATATTTTACAAGAATAATGTTAGGAGTCTAATAAATTATTAAATATTTTACATAATATTATATAGATGTATAGGTGTGGGATTTATAAATCTCAAATAAATTATTAAATATTTTATTAAAATATTTATATAAATGTGAAATCTATACCATATTACATGCCCATATAAATGTTTGTATAAATCCAAACTAGATGAAATTTATGTGAATATTTAATAAAATATTTGGTATTTATATTTTTAATTTTATAATAGAGTTGTGTTTTTTGGCATTTTCCTTTTAGTGGTTGGAAAGCCAGCAAGAGCAGATTTTGGAACCCACTGTACTTGAAAAAAGTCCCTTTTAAGAACGACAACTTTTCTCTTCTATAAAAGAGCCAGTACAGATTCATCAGTTTCATAGACAAAGACAAAAACTTGTCTTTTCTTTTCCTTTCCTTTCATCAGAGAGAGAGAGAGAGAGAGAGACAGAGAATGTGTAGAGAGAGAGAAACAGGGAGTATGGAAGAAAGCAGAGAGAGCCATCCTCTGTTGAGAAGAGGAAAGAGAGAGAGAAACAACAGCAGCAGCAGCTATAGCCATGGCTTCTCTACATCCCAGATCCAATCCCTTTCTGCCATCTGTGAAGCTCTCATTCCTTCTCTCCCACTCCCAAACCATGTCCACTCCAATCAACACCCACAACAATCCCAATCCCTCCATTCCTTCTACCAATCTTCTGCGTCTCATCCTCCATTCCCTGATGAGGTTAGATTCTTCACATTAATTCGTATATATATACCTTTGTTTGCTTTATTCTCAATACTTCATAGCATAACTTTTCTGGGTTTTAATCAATTTTCATTTGTTTGTATATAGACAGACGTACATATTATGTTGTGTGAATTTTTTGCATTCATCTATTTTTTTTTTCTGGGTTTTAATCAATTTTTTTGTTTGTTTGTTAATATATAGAAAGAATCCTCAATACTTAAAGGCATAACTTTTCTGGGTTTTAATAATCTTTTTGTTGTTGTTAATATATAGAAAGAATCCTCAATACTTAATAGCATAACTTTTCCGGATTTAATTTTTTAATTTTTTTGTGAATGTATAGGAAGAATTCTCAATAATAGCATAACTTTTCTGGGTTTTAATCAATTTTTATTTGTTAATATATAGACAGATGTGTGTGTGTATATATGTATATGTAAAACAGTGTGAAATTGTCTGCATTCATCTATTTTTTCTGGGCTTTGATCAATTATTATTGTTTATTACATATTATTTTTATTTAATAGATAGACAGATGCATAAGAGTGTGTGTGCAGAACTATGTGAAAATTTCTTCATTAATCTATTAATGGTTTCTTTAATGGGGGACTCAGGTTGCAGAGCTGTTGGTGAAGAGGGCTTTGTCAGAAGGTGTGGTGATAGTGAGCCTTGTTCTAAAGACTATTTCAACAAGATTGGGAACACTTTTGCTTTGTGGGTTTCTTTGCCTTGATTGGAGATGGCCATTCATACACAATTTCTCTGAAATTTCTTTGCCCAAAAGGGAGATTATCCTTCAAAAATGGTCAAAACAGAGATATTTCGTCCCCTTGAGAATAGTATTTGTGTTGATTAAAATCCTATGTTTCCTCATCTTTTTTTCTTGGGTAATTCCTCTCTCTCTTATCTTTATTGCTTTCTATATTAGTTTTATTATCTATAATTTTTTAATTTTTATTTTGTTTTCTATTTTTTATTTTTTGTTTGTGGTTTGAGGATAAGAGTGAAAGCTAAAGTAAGCCCATTCCGGTTTGCTTGGCTCATTGATGGATTCACATTTTTGGTAGTTTAGCATAGTTTTGGTAAGCATTTAGCCCCGTTTGTTTTGGGGTAGAGATGGGATTGAGATTGAAATTGAGATAGATATGGGACCCATTATATATTGTGTTTGTTTTAGGAGATGGAAAAAGGATTGATAATTCCATAAGATTAGGATGGGCTTGGTGTTGGGATTGAGATGGAGGAGGTAGAGATGGTATTAGGAAATTAGTCCATGGGATTAGGTTTTTTATTTATTTTTATATGTTAGGCATTTTTTTTTAACATTAATATTTAATGTTTTTATATTTTTTGTTAAGTAAAAATCATAGTTTTATTTGTTTTAATATTTTATATTTCTTTTATAGGGTAATAATTTAACAATCCCCACGCCAATAACTACCATCAAAACAAATATAATTTTATTTAATTCTCTTACTATTAATCTCTTCCATTCTACCTTTGAAAATAAACGAGGCCTTAATTTGTTGTTTCTGAAATCAAAACTAGGTTGATTTTAGAAGCAAAAAAAAGAAAGTTTTGAATGCTTAATAATGTAGTTTTTGAGGAATTGAAACTCACTAATAAGTATGATTGTCGCAAATTTATGAAGCACGGATATCTCAAATAGGATGATGTATGTGTATCGATACTTCTTGGATACTCACGGATACGTATTGGATACTTATTAAAAGTATCGAATACTTTTTAATTATTTTTTCATTAATTTTGGAGCATCAGATACTTAATTTTGAAGTATCGGATACTCCAAGTCATGTTTATGAAATTAGAATTGTAGCACTTCTTACATAGTAATATAATATAATATGAAATACTTTGTTAAGTTCTTCGATAAGAAGAGCATAGTGAGTTAAATAATAGAATTTATCAAATTGATGTATCCTAATTATTTCATGCATGTCCCCTATAACTACATAGAAAGTAAGAATTAACAACAGAATATAACAATGGTAAAATTAAATATCAATAAATAAATAAGCAAGTAAATTTGAATACAATGTTTCTCACTAGTGTCAAAGGAAAAAGTGTAGGGACAAATTGTGAATTGTTCTATTATTGTAATATAAATATATTAAATTTGATATTGAAATGAAATATTTGTAAGACCTATTAAAAATTTAAAAAGTAAACAAGCTACTAGTTTAAATTAATACAAAATTCTTAAAGGTTAGTATTTTACATTAGAAAATTACATTGTGATTTCTCAACATTCTTTAGCTTATGTGTAACTCACTATTAATAATTTTAAAAAATATATTTTTTACAAACGTGTCCTAATCGTACCAGTATCTTATTTTTTAAAATTTTATCGTATCGCCGTATCTATATCGTATCCGTATCTCGTATCCATATCTATGCTTCCTAAGTCGCAATCCCCTACATTCGCTTATTGAAAGCGGCATTCTAACTTAAATTTTGATAGCCAAGGGAGGTTTTTTTTTGGAACATTAATTATAATACTATATAATTTCTGCCTTGAAAAAGACTTTCCTCTTAATTTATGGTTGGTGTTAATGAAAATTCTGGTTGCTTTCAAATATGACTAAAGTTTTGAGTAATCATCCTAGCCTGATAGAGATGTTTATCTGTTTCTTCTCATCTGCTATAGTTGATCATGATGGAAAACAACTCTGCCTAGTTGCACTTAAATTTAATGTGTTCTCTTTCATTACAATATATTATTGTTTCATATAATTTTAATGTAAATTATAGTTTCTGTTCATCAGCTTTAGCTAATGTGAAATCTTTTATTACAATATATTGTTGTTTCATATAATTTTAGTGTAAATTCTAGTTTCTGTTCACCAGCTCTAGGTAATGTGAAATCTTTTATTACAATATATTATTGTTTTAAATAATTTTTTATTGTTTCATTTAAGACATTCCTCTGCTAAATAATTTTAATGCAAATTCTAGTCGCTTTCAAAAAATTTAAATAAAATTTTCCATAATTGACAAGATTCTGAAAGGAATGTCCATCTGTTTCTTGTCATCTGCTATAGCTATGCAATGTTGTCTTACCTTCTGATCATTTTCGAAAACAAAACAACTATACATAGTTGCACATAAATTTTTAATAATATTGTGTTTCTTAAATTACAGCTATAGGTTGTCCAAATGTAAATACCTTTTGGCCCATTAGGTTAGGTTTTCACCATTACTGATTTAGGTGGACAGTCCAATTGGACCGTATGAATTGAAACTATAGGAACTAAATAGATAAAATTCATAGTTTAGGGATGAAATAGAAAACCTGCTATAGTTTATCATGAATTGACACTAAAAGCTTTTCTTCTCTGCTTTTGTTGCAGACTGATGAAAATTCAAGAAACCCGGTATGGGAAGCAATCGGATACAAGGTAGACACCACAGAAAATTCAAAAAAACCTCGAAAAGAGAGACCTCTTGAAAAGGGTATTATAGAAACTATGATGAAAAATGACTCTACCCTTGTTCAATCTCTCACCCAAAAAGGCCTTGAAGTCACAGAAGATCCAAATGACAAAACTTACAAGATCAAATGTGATGTTGTAATTGTAGGGTCCGGTTGTGGTGGAGGGGTTGTTGCTGCTGTTCTCGCTAGATCCGGCCATAAAGTCCTTGTCCTTGAGAAAGGGAATTATTTTGTCCCGGAAGACTATTCCGGTCTTGAAGGTCCTTCCTTGAGTGAACTATATGAATCAAGTGGATTCCTATCCACACTTGACGGGACAGTAATGATCATGGCAGGATCAACAGTTGGGGGAGGATCCGCGGTGAATTGGTCTGCTTCAATCAGAACACCGAGCACTGTTATCAAGGAATGGGCTGTGGATCGAAAGATCAGACTTTTTGGAAGCTCAGATTATCTCTCTGCCATGGATGTTGTGTGTGACAGGATTGGTGTAACAGAGGGTTGTGCAGAGGAAGGGTTTCAAAATCAAGTTCTTCGAAAAGGGTGTGAAAATCTTGGCTTGAAAGTCGAGTCAGTCCCGAGGAATTCGTCACAGAATCATTACTGTGGTAATTGCTGTTACGGTTGTAAAACGGGCGACAAGAAAGGGACCGATTCGACTTGGCTAGCGGATGCTGTTTGCAATGGCGCAGTGATCTTAACCGGATGCAAAGCAGAGAGGTTCGTATTGGAAAACAACAAAACCGGGTTGAAAAAGCGCTGTTTGGGAGTCATTGCAGCAAGTGTGAACAAAAACATCACAAAGACGCTGCACATTCAGTCAAGAGTAACAGTTTCAGCAGGTGGGTCTCTCTTGACTCCCCCTCTATTGATTCGTAGCGGTTTAAAGAACCCTAACATTGGCAACAATCTTCATCTCCACCCGGTTCTAATGGCCTGGGGATACTTCCCAGACTGTGTATCTCCTATCAAAGGCAAAAGTTACGAGGGGGGAATCATTACTTCGCTTCACAAGGTGGTTTCCGAGGAATCCAACATCCAAGCCATTATAGAAGCTCCTGCACTAGGACCTGCTTCATTTGGTGTATTGATTCCATGGGTTTCAGGGCGCGACATGAAGGACAGGCTGACAAAGTACGCGAGAACCGCTCACATTTTTGCTTTGGTCAGAGACCAGGGTTCGGGGGAAGTGAAGGCGGAGGGAAGGATAAAGTACGGGTTAAACAAGGTGGATAGAGAAAACCTTACTAGGGGTCTGAGGCAGGCGTTGAGGATCTTGATCGCAGCAGGAGCGGTTGAAGTGGGAACCCACAGGAGTGATGGACAGAGAATGAGATGTGAAGGGACCAAGGATGAAGATTTGGAGGAGTTTCTAGACAAAGTTAAGGCGGTTGGAGGGCCAAAGTCTAGGGGAGAGAAGTGGACCATGTACTGCTCTGCACATCAGATGGGTAGTTGTAGGATGGGTGCTAGTGAGGAAGATGGTGCAGTTGATGAGAATGGGGAGAGTTGGGAAGCTAAGGGGTTGTTTGTTTGTGATGCAAGTGTTCTTCCTAGTGCTGTTGGGGTTAATCCAATGATCACCATCCAATCCACTGCTTATTGCATCTCTAAGAGGATTGCAGAGTGCTTGAAAGAATGACAAAATTCTTTACAAATGACCTGACACTTTGCATTGTAATTTAGTTTTTCTTCTTCTCAATTGAGTTAGTAAAATGTTCCCACATTTGGTATCACTTATAAATCTATTTAGTGCATTTTTTGATAATTTGTTAAAAAAATTAAACATGTTTTAATTAATTAATTAATTTATTTATTTTTGAGAACAAAACATGTGTTAATTAAATAAATCGTTACATAACTAAGTCAAATAAATTATAATTAAAATTGCTCAAATAAATTATAATTAAAATTACAATTAAACACCATTAGTCAATTTTTTTTGAAAAAGAAATTATATAATATAAGCAAAAACATTGTAAGGTTTTTGAATTTGAAACTCTCAACACAAATTTTTTAATTTTTTGAATTTCTAAATATACAAGTACAAACGTCATTCAATCATTAGTTATTACATTTTAAATGTAATTAATAATTAATTATTTGGATTTTTAATTATTAGTAAATTAAATTTTGAATTTTTATTAATTTCAAATCACAATTTTTTTTTGCTGATTTATTATCAGTATGGTAAAGTTTATATACACATGGATATATTACACTATTGTATTTTTGAATTCTTTATATTAAAAATATTTAGTTTTAGTTTTTTTTTTTTTTAAAAAAAAAAACTCTTTTTCTAAAAAATATTATGCATAAACATAAATAATGTTTTCAATTTTTTGACTTTATAAAAATATAAAAACACATGTGTCATTTAATCATTGGTTTTTGTTATAATATTTATGATAATTTTTCTAGCAGTTAAACCTTTGCAATTTAATTTATAAACTAATGTTATAACTATAAATTTTATACCATAACCATTGAAATTAAAAATAGTAATAATATCATTACATGATTTGGAATCAAAAAATTTAAGTAAATAATACTAACATATTATTGGTCATGACTAAGAGGTTTTAAAAATTAACTTGATTTACGTAAATTAGATTTTGAACTAATCACAAAATGACATATGTATTTTAAGTATTATAAAATTAAAAAATATGAAAAATTTACATTGATAACATTAAATTATAATTCATTCTTAAATTTTAAGAAATTTCAAAATTACTATCAAACCAGTCAAATTAAACCCATTGATAAAAAATTAAAATAATGTATTTATAATTAGTCTAGTTTCTCCTATCTAAATCAATACTTGGGCTAAATATATTCAGAAAATTGATTTATTTATGAAAATTGCAAAGAAATTAGAATGTCATTGCATACAAAATATTATTATGTATCAAACTTATAAAAAATAAAAATAAATAAATAAACCATTCATATTCTATAGTTTAAAAATAAAAAAATATAAAATATAAAATATAAAATATAAATAAAATAAAATAATAGGTGAATGATCAAACAAAGAAATCAAACAGAAGCATCTGCCAAAACCAAACCCATAAGAGACCATCCATGTCTGCAGCGAGCAAGATGCCAAGACGGTGTGCGACCTGATTCCTTGCCGATTTATTTTATTTTTTTTATAATCATACTCTGCACTATATTTATGTAAACTGAACAAAAAAAATTTGACGATTAACATGTAAAATTAAAGTAATTTATATTTTGCCCCATTTATATTTTACTATTTTTTTACTATGACCCTTACATGGTTTTCTTTTTCCCCACTAATCTTTCACGTTTTATATTTTTCTCAATTTATTTCTAAAGTTAATTTATTTCTAAAATTATATAGAAAATAATATGTTGTCAGTCATGAGACATAAAAAAATATATTATTATATTTAGATTTAAGTTTGAGTTAGAAATGTAGGTTAAATATAATAATATATTTCATTTTATGTGATTGTCAATGTGGCATTTTTTAATTAATTTTGAACAAAAGTTAATTTTAAGAGTAAATTAAGAAAAACTTAAAACGTAAAAGGTCAAAATAGATTAAAAAAAATAAAAAAATTAAAGGCCGAAGTAAAAAAATGATAAAATATAAAAGATAAAAGGTGTAATTTAACTTTAAAATACTATTTAAAAAAAAAAAATTAGTAATGGTATTTTCAAAATATTTATATGGCAGACTGACTCTATTTCTTAGGGCCAATTTATATGGGATTTTACCTCAACTTTAATTGGATTTCTTGTTAGTGGATGGTCGGAGCATCCCCAATAGTCTGCTTATTTTCTCTTTTTCCCTATTTTAAGGAGTCAAATACAAAATAAGTCCATCCAATAGGCTACCTACTTAAACTTTTGATTCCCTACATTTTGGAGGTTTCAATCACTCCTTATAATTAAAAAATTATTTTCTCTCTCTCATCCCTCATCTTTTTCTCAAATGGTGGAGGAGAGAATAAAGTTTGGAAAAATATTTCTAATAAAAAATAATAAAATAAATAAACATATATAAAAAAAATAAAGAATATTATTGGAGATGATAGTTGAAAAAGTGGTTCTCTAAAGATTAATGATTCATTCATATAATTTGCTCCGTCCAAATGTACACAATTGAGACTCTGACTATAGCAATCTCGGTTTTTCCTCCATTGCTTATTGTATTCCGGACTTGGGATTCCGTCATGGTTGTTGTTGTCTTTATCTTGTTTCTGTCTTTTAGATTCTTTGTATTTAAGTTTTGGGATGTGTTGGGCAGGTTTGAAATTGGATGTGATTTGAAATAAATAGTTGCTGCCCAGATTTTGATTTCTTCGCTCGAGCGAGGCTTTTGTCGCTTGAGCGAGCTTTGGGTTTTAGTTCCTTCGCTCAAGCCAGGGTTCCTTCGCTCGAGCGAGATTTGAGTAGTGTGCCTCTTAGCTCGAGCAAGCACTCTTGCACTCGAGCGTGCGTCTGCGTTTCTATTTGACCTGAAGGTTGTGTTTCTTCGCTCGAGCGAGATTTCCTTCGCTTGATCTAGCGAGGACTATGTTTTGAGTTTCTTCGCTCGAGCGAGCACTCTTGCGCTCGAGCGTGCTTTTGGGTTACAGACCTGAAGCTTCGCATTGTTCGCTCGAGCAACGCTTCTTGCGCTTGAGCGAGGTTCTGTTGTGTCTGGTCACTCAAGCGACCACTCCTTCGCTCGAGCGAGCCTCGAGTATATCAGTTCGCAGCAGCATGTTTTTGCATACTTTTTCACTCTCTTATTCCTTGAAACCCTAGATCCGGCACTCTCTCTCTCTACCTATGTCTTCTCTCTACAAATACACTTGGTTCTTGGGTGTCTCTACCCTAGTCTCTTTGAAGAAAAGGTAGAGCTTGGGGTGGGCATCGTGTTGATCCGAAAAAGTTGGGCTTTAGGGCACTTTGAATTTCTTCTCATCTTTTTCTTGAGCTTCTACTTTGAGGTAGGGAATTCTTGAGTTATATATATATGTTATGTATTGTTGTTGTTGATTTAAAAGTTCTTTGAAGGATAAATGTTGATTTGATTTTTGTGATAAAAAAATGTAGAGTTTCCAAAATGGGTTTAATCTCAAATCGTTTTATTAAATTCCCAGTGGGTTGGTTTGGTCATTCAACTCAAGAGGATGATTTAATGGGGTTTCTTTATGGGGATGAGAAAAGTTTGGTTTTTGATGAAAACCCTAGAAATTGGGAATTTTGGTAATATGGCAAATATCTTTGAAATTTCTTATTTTCTTGTTTTAAAGGGATGAAAAGAGTGAGTTACACCAATGTTTGGCAAAAGGGAAAATTACGTGTGATATGAAAATTGTGACTATGTGTTAATGAAACATGTTAATCTTGTGGATGAACATTGAAAGGAGAATATGAGAATGTGAATGTTGACATTGTAGCAGAGATAGTCAAAAGTGGAGAAATGTCTTATGGTATGGAAAGAATCATTTGCATTGCATGTTATTTCATTTATTATAGTGCATTGTGAATCTAAATCGTTGAGATTTTCATCATGAGAAAAAGATTAGTTATTGTATTGAGAACCATGAAAATGTGTAAGGGGTAAATACGTTGGTAAGTCTGGATAGGAGGTGTAGATGAATTTGTTAAGTTGGCCTGAGTGTCCTTGGTGAAAGACCAGAAAACCGCGCGGATAGGTGTCGAGCCTTCCGGTTAATACCGGTAAAAATGACAGTTTGATAGTATTCGTAGAGTCTACTTGCAGACATCGGCCTAGGGATTACCAGTGTCGTATTTACCGCCCCTATTGAATTAATGATGGAAGTTTGAAATTGATGAGATCACATGATGATATTAAGAGTATGGTGAATTTGAAATGAATATTTTCCTCAATACCTTAATCTGGTATGGCATTGCAATTACATTTGTTATTATGTTGAGGAAAAAGCATAACGGTATATATTTTGTGAGAATTTCTCTACTGGGCTTTATGCTCACCCCTATGGGATTTGGTGCAGGTAAAGATGTGGTGATCCCGCCAAATTGAGGGCGTGGATATTTTTGTGAAGAGTAGATGACTCTCCTTATTGTTGTTATTTTTGTAAAGCCAAGGGCCAACATGTATGGGTCGTAGGGACCATTTTGTGATACTGGGCTTTTGCCTTGGAAGATGTAAGCCCTTAAGGGCATTTTGTTGCTTTGAGAATAGATGCTTCACATGCAATAGATTCATGTGTTTTATTATCATTGAATGTATATCCACATGTGGAACTTTTGTAAAGACTCATTTATTAATTATGCAAAGATAGAAGAATTGTTGTAATTGATGTGGAAATGCTAATTAGTATGGGTGGTTCATGTTGAATTATTTCGGGGTGTTACAATTTGGTATCAGAGCTACTGGGTTTGAATACTTATGGCTCGCGGGAAGTGGTCGTTATACCACAATGGGTTCATTTTGCATGACTAGGAAATGTTTTGCTTTTGTGATTATGTGACAACATGTTTATCTGATTATGTGGGTATGAGATTAGACTTTTGGGATGTTATTTGCGCCTATTAGGTTCCTTGAGGTCTTAATAGAAGGGTACCTGATCAATACTCATTCTACTAAGAATTCTTGGTTCCTCATGGGACGAATCTCATCACTAAAGGATAATTTGCATGTGTTTATGTGACTAAGGTGCTTATGTGGAGTGAATTAAATTGTTTGTGTAGTAGGATGTATGTGGTTGCTTTAGCCTAACGTGTGAAGTTAGCGGCGAGCACATTTGGAACTATGTG